TCAAGGCCTCAGTGGGTGACGAGGTCGCTGTTCACTACACGGTAAGTTCCTTGTTGCATACTTTAAAGGTTTTTCTTGAGAGGTGTTTTGATTTTCTTTCTTTCCGCTTTCGAAAGCAAATGTAGAAGAGATGTCTTGAAGCGAAGAAAAAAACTGTTGAACCATGAGTTCTGGCTCCAACCATGCAAAAACCGGCCCCCTCCCCTCAGGGCCCAACCAAGCAGAAAATGCCCCCCTCCCTTTCAGGCCCGCAACCAAGCAAAAAAATCCTTCAGGCCCCAACCTAGCAAAAAGTGGCCCCCTTCAGGGCCCAACCAAGCAGAAAATGGCCCTCGTGCACAAGGAAGAAGGCTGTGATTTCTGTGTACTGCCCTGCCTGCGGCAGGTTCAATCCGCTTTTTTTTTTTTTTTTTTTTGGACGATTTCTCAAGCCGCTTCGTTTTTTGATTTGGAAAATTTCTGAAATTATGTGTGCCATCCTTGTGCAGAGGTCATGAAAATATTCTTTGTATCGTTCCAATGGAGGGACCGGCTCGTTTTTTTTTTTTTTTTTTCCTTGGACAACATTGACATTTGTCCATGAAGAATTGCTCCCCTCCCTCGCCTCCGGCAAGTAACAACAACAGCAGCAACAACAATGATAACAACAACAATGACAAATATCAACAACGACGACAAAAATGACAGCAAGAACAACAATGACAAATGTCAACAATGACGACAATAATGGCAGCAAGAACGGCAACAAGAAGAAGAAGGAAGAAGGACAACGACAAAAACAAATATCGACAAAATGGTACAATGCCAGCCCCTTCTTCGACTGGCCAGCGGGTTTAATCTCTATTATTTTAATTTATTTATGTGAAAATGGGAAATTGGCCATGATTCATGCTAACTGGTCGGTTAAGCTTTTGCGCTGACTGTCGATAACGGAATACTATCTCTGAATCTAGTCTGAAAGTTGCCCCAAGTGCAGCTATGATGACCGTCAATTCTATTCGGAGAAGACGGTAGAGGCCCGAATTTGGGATGAAATAGTGAACACGTTAACGCACCAGTACATGGGCTCCTGGGCCGTGGGCCTGATGCCTCAAATTCTGGAGGCGCGAAACGAAAACGCGATGGCCGATTGAAGTTAATCAACGGCGGGCCCAGCGTTCGATGTTTCAGATTTCGGACTGCAAGGCTGGGGCCGTGCACTTGTGTGGTCTAAATCATTTAAATGCGGTGTATGATTATTCATCGAACTTGACCTTTTTGCTTGCTAATCATATATTTAATATTTATTAATTTCATTTGAAGCCGACTGCTCAATAATTTCCATACTTGCGGCGCATTAGTGCGGTGCGCGATGCGGTGCGTTGCGCCGTGCGGCATGCGCGCAGTGACACCGCGCGCGCATGCGCGCGCGCTCGCGCACGAGGTGCGCTGTGCGCGCAGCGCATGGGGACGCGCTACCAGTGCAAGGTGCGCACTGTGCGCGATGCCTATTTCCGGTGTGTGTGTTGTGTGTGTGTGTGTGTGTGTGTGTGTGAGAGAGAGAGAGAGAGAGAGAGAGAAGAAACCGTGTGAGAGAGAGAAGAACCGTGTGCTGACATTATCGGACCAAAGAAACCGCCCTTATCAACAAAGAAACCGCCCTTATCAACGGGCAACATGAATCTGGAAGCGGGGCGACATGTACGAAGGACAAAAAATATGGCGGTGTATCTTTCCATGTTCTGGCAGAAGATTCATTCATACGTTGGGTGGTGGAGAGCGAAGGGCCGATGAATCACGTAAGCACGTAACGTACCACGTAACGTACCTCTGGAACCTTTCTTTTATTTTTTTTGGAGAATCTCTGAACAAATGAGACTGAATCCTCCGCTTGAACATGGAAAGATACATTGCTATATATGTCCTGTTGTGCATGTCGAGAGTAGTGCAGTGAGCCCGTTGGTAAACATTACCGTTGAGGTTCTGACAGGTTGGACGCGCYGGGCTTCACTCGTGCAAAGAGCTGTTCTTCCTTTACGTTTTTTTCCTTTTATAAAAAAAAAAAATTTCAGGAAAAACGGCTGCCAATTCCGTCGTTTTCTGCTTCAGAAGTAATATGAAGAGAACGTTTTGAGAGATCGCGACCCTCATCATGACTGAATCTGGCCTGCAAGAACCCTACCATACAGACTGCAATTACCGTTGAGGTTCTGANTGTGTGTGTGTGTGTGTGTGTGTGTGTGTGTGTGTGTGTGTGTGTGTGTGTGTGTGTGTATGGCTTTGTGAGATTTTGTGAACATCATGAGCATGGTTGACTGTGTGTGTGTCTATGCACATTTCTGAACAGTCGTGAGTAGGATTTACTAGGAGCGAGGGTTGAGTTGGGCTAAAAAGTTGAATACGAACTCAAGACAGGAAGACTTGAGGCTGTCAGGCTGCCAGGCTGTCAGTTTCAAAAAGTAAGTCAGGCTTTTTTATTTAGCTGTTTAGTCAGGTGTGAGTCCGTGTTTTTTTAATTTTTTCTTAGGCTACCAGCCGGGCCGCCCGGGTCACCCTAGTTTCCCGGGCGCCCCGGCCGTGCAAGGACTAGGTAAGGTCCCAGGACTCCCAGCGAAAAAAAAAAAAAAAAAAAAAAAATCCAAAAAATCCAAAAAAAAACTATGTTGTGACAGTTATGCTGAAAAATAAAGTGAACAACTGTTGCCTTAGCATCACATCGAAATTCTTTACCAAATTTAAAATAATAATTTAAATTAAGAAATATTTTTATTTTTTTTAATGTTTTTTATTTCTTTTCGGCCCGGCCGGGCAAGTGGACCCGGGCCACTCTGGTAGCCTAGTTTTAATTCCTTTTCCCCCCCTTTTGAAGGGGTTGCGAGGCTTAGGGCCTCGATATGCCCTTCAGGGCCCACTTTTCACACAGTCGGCCGCCGTAAGTGAAGGCAGGCACGACTGAGGCCTACTGGCCATTTCCGGGTCACCACGCAACTGGGGAAATTCAGGCAGTTGCGCAGCACCAGTTGGTTGGAAGCACCCCGGGCCCAGGCTGCCTTCACTGCATGTAACTAAGGCAGGCCCTGGGCCGGATACACAAAGTGGACCGAACAAAGGCTGAGGGCAGTTGGGTGCTGATAACCGCCTCAGGCCCTGGGCCTGTTTCCTTCGGACTGAGGCTCAGCCTCCCTGGGCCTACCGGACGCTTCTGGTCGGGGCCCAGTACCGCAGCACAGCACGCAGCAGCAGGCCACTTAGATATAGGGAAGGGCCTGCCCACGCATTGCACATTCGGGCACTGGCTGCTTTGTGCGCAAGCGCTGCTGCGCTATCGCCTGCCAGGCTCACGCGCTCACAGGCAAGCTGGAAGGAGCAGGCAGCCATAGCCGAGCTGCGCTGCTGTATGCTGGATGGGGCGCATGGTGGTCCTTGGGTGCAAGTGGCATCTGTGAGTTGGGGAACGAGGTTGTGAGTGATAGGAGAGACATACCTGGTGCTTGAAGCGTGGGACATTGGCCGAGATCTGCTTGTACTTTGGGAAGCTGTTGACGTCATCAGCGGCATTGTAGAGTAGGCTAGATAGGATCTGCCATCTGTAGTCTGGGCGCCGAGCGCCAGATGGGATATCAACATTGGTTCTTCGTTGATGATGATGATGAGACTATTCCAGCATTGTCAATTATGAGCTTTTGGTGTGCTCTTATTTGGTGAAACTCGTGATGCAATTCTGCTTTTGGTTCGAGGTCACGACTATCTGGTCTCATGTGTATGATGCTGTTTGATTGCTGAAGTTCGCTATTGCTCATCTTCCTTGCAGGGTACAGGCCCCTAATGTTTTTACGTTGACCCAACTCATTACTGGTTTATCGACGGTTTTCGTGTGACTCTTGTCACTTCAGCTAAAACCCAAAACGGAACTTCCATTTTGTGGAGCAGGTTTTTACAGAAAGAAGTTTAGCTATATGTCTTATGTACAGAAAGACCTGAGTTATACTGAATACTCAGTAAGTTATACACCACTTCAAATCTATCTTTTTGAGAACACTGACATGTGTGCACCGTTAGGCTGGGTGGGTGAGGCTCGAATGAAGTGATGCTGTAGATGCTTCATGGTCACGCTGAGCCTGTAGCTGAGGGACCGGACCTGAACAAGAGTCCAAGGTCCTCCAGATGTCCCGAGGAGTTCTCCGAAAAAGTGAGAACATTTCTTCTCCCCCGCCCCCCTGGAGTAGAGTAGATTGGGAACTCCCGGATGCTTTTCACTTCTATAAAATGTCAATTTAAGTCAAAATGCACCTGTGCGAGAAGATCCACAAGGTACATGATTGTCACCTGGACTTGCTGGGGCTCATGTGTGCATTCTCATTGGCCGGGTTTGTCCGTTGCAAACATAAACGGGATATTTATGTCCTTTGCCTTCTGAACATAAAAAAAAGGGGCTATTTATGCCCTTTGCCTGCCAAACAAAAATAGCCCCCGCTTATGTCCTTCCAAACGTATATGGGCTATATTTATGTCCTATTTATAATCCGGGAAGGCATCCACATGTCCAGTATCCAAATCCCGGATGCAGCTGAATGCCGATCTGTCTGTATGACCATCCAGATGTTGGGGTCATAATGATGAGTTCGGTGAAACTCCGACGGAACAGTTTGTCACAGTCCCTCGTTTGTTGTCCTCTTCTCCCTCTCTGCCTACGGTTTACCGGGCAGCAGCTCTGTTTGACGATATATATCCCTAGTGCCTCCTAAAATGTCTATTTAATATTTATTGCTCGATCGTACACTGATGCAGGTATCTGTTAGTAAACAGATGACGAGTTTGAATCCTCATGAAATCAGGTGCATACCATAATCTTTGGGGCTACCCCCTGAAGGGGCCGAAAAGAACAGAAGTTACAGGACAAATGTATGAAGAAAAAGAAAAGAAAAGAAAAGAAAAGAAAAGAACAAACCACTCTCTCGCCCGAACGACCTTAACTGGAAGGACTTGTTTGTCAATGGAATGACAGGCAAGGAAGATGGCCCTTGAAGGGGCAAGCATCATTGATGTTGGAGGACAATCAACCCGGCCAGGTGCGGCAAGGGTATCAGTCCAGGTGAGCTTGTGAGTGTTTGTTAGTGATTCGTGTCGTAAACGGGGTGAACGCTTTTGAGTGTTTTCATTGCTTAAAGCATTAAAGTTGATTAAACCTTGTTTTTTCTGGCCATATTTTGGATTTTGTGGATTTTTTTATTTGTTTAAACTGTTGGAATTGTGTGTGGTCACTGTGGTGACCAGTTCTTAATGTTCTCAAGTGTTTTGGTCCATTGGAATTGTCTGTGGTGACCATTTCCAAAAAACGCTGAAATTCTTAAAATTTTCTGAACGCAAATTTTCATTCAAGTCAATCAAGTGCACTTTTTCCTCACACTTTCACCCTGTGTTTTTAAACTTTTTTTTTGTTTTTTGGTTGTTTGTTAATATGGAGGCCACTCTATGTGACCGCTGCCAAGTCTTGTCAAGAAGGCCTTTGGGTTTTCTTATAAATAGCATTGAAAGAACACTGAAAATTTGGGTCTCCATTAACCATCACTCGTTAGTGCATCCCGAGAACGTTTGCTTTGGTAGTGTGTTTGTTTAGTCTATCCTTAGCTCATCCTGTATGGGTGTAGCTGACCCGCCCTTACTACATCCTACCCACGACTACCAGTTTGCCTTTGTAGTGTGCCGGGAGGTGCACGATCAGCAAAATAAGAAATCAAAAGAGGGTTTTGAAACGGTATTCACCAGTTCGAAGTAGCTGATGCAGATCCCAGGGCTCGATCCCTAGTTCCCCAACTTACCTGTGTACAATACCTGTGTCAACTCGAAGAATTGAMCCTGCGACCTGTAGAACCGCCTGTGGTAAGTAGGTCTGTCGTAGGTCTATAGGTAGCCAGGATTTGATCTGTAGACCTGTAGATTAGAAGTCTAGCTGCAGTCCTTCTAGAAGGTCGGCAAGTGGTCAAGTGGTGCAGGCAAGTGGCCAAGTGGTGTGACTAAAGCAAGCCCACGTTGTAGACGAGGACAAGTGGCGAGGTCAAACCGCAGGACCCCGGTGCAACTGCACTGCGTCGTAGGGTCGTCGCCATGCAGTCAAGGGAGAGTCTGGAAAGTACCAGTCCGGTCCAGCAAGTACCACGGGGGGGACTGTGTGCACCATGGGCCAAGGATGCAGGGCAGACTAACGCAGCGCAGAAGTATAAATCAAGAGGCTGCGTCCAGCCATTCATTCATTCCTGCGGATGCCATGCGGAAGCGCTGCCTCAGCAGCTTGTGCGAGGAGGTCTGCAGTGTGCCCGAAGACGAAGTGGGCAGAGAAGTGTAGTGTAGCGATAGGGTAGTGGCAGCTAGCGCTGCCATAGCCATAGCCTAGTGTGTGTGTGTTGTGTATGAACATTGAGTGTCGTGTGTGGGACATCCAGGGTGATCTCGAGTGTGAACAGTGAGTTGTATGGGCGCACAGTCGCCATAGCCAGTTGGAAGAGAACTCATATCTGGTTACGATATCTTTGAGTACTGTGTGGGCGCATGTCGCCAGTTCGCTGTATCGCTGTTTGCRAGCATGATGAAGTGTGAATAAGTCGAGTATGATTGCACTGGTATCGGAGCTGGTACTCGCAGTTCCACGCGCCGTCGTGTGCAGGTGCCATAGCTGAGGTGGCCGCTGAAGGAGAAAGTCCGCCATAGCGGACCTTCGGTGGAAGAAGCTGCTGCGCACCTGCATCAAGAAGAACACGAGAGAGAGAGAGAGAGAGAGAGAGAGAGAGAGAGAGAGAGAGAGAGAGAGAGAGAGAGA